AACCCTGTCGGGCCCCGTGGAGCGAACACAATTCCAATTCACTGATTCCCTTCCCTGAAAAAAGAAAAGGAAAATGAGCTTTGATATGGCTGCTGTGAAGCACTGGAGTGGAAGGCTCGTTGTCAGCCGTGAATGGAAGTGGATATTATTTTAAGTTCAGTCAACAGTTAATAGATACAACAGGTTTTGAGTCATGCTTTTTCCCTAAGGGGAAAAGGGAGGGGAGAAGTTGAGATTCACCTGTGACTTAGTGCTAAATTGTATTTATCAAAAACTGCAAGTGATCGGATTTGACAAGAGATACCATGGGGAAAGATACAGCCAAGTAAGGGAAATTAAATGCTTATTTGAACTACATTCTGTTTAATTCTTTTCGACTTGCAAAATTCGTTTCTTTACAAAGTGTCACACACGCTTTGTCAAAGTAGACATTTTTCTTGTTTGAAGTATTTATGGATTTTACAGCGCAGTGCTGATTAAGATTGTGCATGTGTTTGGCAAATGTAGATATCCCTTTGCAATTGTGCACTATGGAACGATGGACAGGGCCAGTTCACAGAATTTCCGTCTTGCCCTTGTGCTAATGGACAGTTCATACCTAGTGACTACAATGTACATGTATATTGTGAAAATCTGGTGTACAGTAATAAGGGAGTATTTTCTTAAAGTGAGGAAATCACAATTTCATGGCATGTTAGATTGTCATTGCTTCAACAGGTATTCCTTCACAGCTCTTAAAGATGCCACATCAGATGAGTCTCAGGTTATTTCTGTATCAGCTTATCAGAATTCCTGCATATCACAACTGGGTATCTTGGGTGAAATGCACGATTGAGAAAAATTTAGTACTGGAAGAAGGCATTTTGCAAAATCAAGTTTACCGTCATTAACAGTCGAGGAAGATTATGTGGTATCAGATAAGGACAAATCAATAACATTTCTTACTTGAAAAGATTTGATGCACGTGTTAATATGGTTGAAATTAATACAAAGGTGTACTTTATGAAGGCTGTTTTTTTTCCGTTGTGTAGGGCAGGGGTTTCCCATGGAACTGCAACACAGCAAGGAAGTCTTTTCTAACTAGAATGTGTTTCCCATGGAACAGCAACACAGCAAGGAAGTCCTTTCTAATTAGAATGGGTTTCCCATGGAACAGCAACACAGCAAGGAAATCCTTTCTAACTAGAATAGGTTTCCCATGGAACAGCAACGCAGCAAGGAAGTCCTTTCTGACTAGAATGGGTTTCCCATGGAACAGC